ACATTTTCAAGTCTTTCTAAACGAGTGTCAAACCAGAATCCAGAATCCAAACCACATGTAGTGCAGACCTGTTCACTTTCACAGTTCCACCTGACCGCGAGGCACAAATTCAATATCAACAACACTGCGGAGCTGATCACTTGCGGTGAAGGCTTGACTCTTTATTTGACATCCAAAGGCAAGAATGACTTCATGCCACATCGTGAGATGCTCCTAGACAGCAACAAGATCTGTAAGCCTATATGTGAATCTAGAGCATACAAAGTGTAGATTGATAGAGTGGCATGTTCATTGTATGCTGAGGTTTTCCTTTGGTGCTGGTGAATGGAGATCTGGCAGTGAAGCTTGTCACAAACAAACATGTTCAAGGTTCGAGCATTCATCCTACAATACAATGACTATCAGCGACTATTCTGTGTTGGAAAGGCCACCACATGCAAATGTTCCAATGTAAGGAAGCTACGGAAGTCATGGCAGATGCTGCTGGACGATGGTTCAAGTTTGCGGCTTCCTATGACACCATCGTTGTGCTGGAAAGGAAGGAGCTACCAGAACATGTGATGCAGTGTCCATCAGTAGAACGCCCAGTGATGATGAAGAAACTCATGCAGCAGCTGGAAGATGCTGGGGAGGCCTAGGTTTACTTGAGCTTTCAAAAAACCCTTGAATGCTATTCCCCTCAGTCATGGCAGTAATGGTGCTTCAGTCGAGGACAAAAATCAGTCAATACCCCACGGACCTATTCTCATTTTGATTATAATTAAGTATTATTATGTTTCTTCTTCCCTGTCAGGTAAATGTGAAAATCTTCCACCACACCATCTCTTCGCCTGATGATGGTTCTCCGGCAACAATCACCCCAGACAAGCCGCTTTGCTTCCTGCTCGATGAGCTCAAGGATCCGGAAGAAAAAACAAAGGGTAAAAAAACCAAGAAGAAGAAGGATAAGGACAACCAACCTACAGTCAAGAACTTTGGCAGCCGCTTGAACATCAACAAGCTGAAGGGTGTCTCAAAGCTCATCATTGGCTGGAGAATCAGGCCTGTTCTTGGGGTTGGGTCTTTGCACAGTATTTTATTAAATGCAGGTTGCACTCCCATGTGTTGCCACACCATACTGACCATACTGTATATATGTCCAGCTTTTGTGCATGGTCCATCTGAGGCTGGATACCGCGGAAGGCAACAAATCAGTGACGCCGATTCGCCCTATTTGCTGCCTCGCTGGAGGGCTGGATCTTGATGGCAGCAATGTGCGCCTGATGTAGGTCAAGGCCAGAGTGGAACACAAAGGCCAGTAGTTGTGGGGTAGCTGGTGAAGGTGGCTGGAGGCCGGTCAAACCATTTTGAAACATTCTAACAAACATTCCCAAATCGAATCTACAATCTACGCCAATGCAATAGAATCCACCCCGATTACTTGTGATTGACTTCCACTCGCCTTCAGCTTGGGGCAGAGGTTCAATGTGACCTCTACGGTTTTGGGAGATGACATCCTAGGAAGGTCTGGGTTGCTGATTGACAGCAATGATCCCAGCCCAGTGCTTTGGCAAGAAGAAGCATTGTCTTTGTTACTTTGGTGCAACTTGATATCCATCTATATACACTGCACAGGGTACCGTCCATGCGTCATGTTGCGTCCACCCAAAGCAACAAAGAAATAACTGCCTAGCGCACAATTGGGAAAGTGATTGTGCACAATTTGTGCAGGAAGGCTCAAGCTTGCTCTGCTCAACGTTGCCCAAGTCATAGTTTAGGAGCCATGACTGATGCGGGTGATTATAGCAGTGATGTGGAGGTGGTCACTCCAAAAGCCACATTCAGACCCCCGGTCTCTTGCCATTGTTTGGAAACACTGCTCTAAACCATGTGCATCACATACCGTCAGTGTTATCACAGTACCCCCCACAAGCTGTTGATCTAGGCCTTCAACCTGCAGAACCTCTTCGATGAGCAGGCCTTGATGTCTGGGCCAAAGGCGAAGGCAAAGTCCAAGGCAGCCACTCGATCTGCTGCTTCTTCTTCTTCAAAAGCAATGCCTGCGCCAAAAGCTGTCATCAGCAACTTGAAAAGAGATCCAGGTTATTGTTGACTGGATTGATTTTGTTGGGCAATTGTTTCAGGCTGACTCCAAATCACAATCCTCAACCAAGGTAACACCTCTCTATCTGGACAGGGTGGTGGCCTACCACGAGTCACTGATACAGAGTCATCACTGACGGGAAGTGGTGGGGAGAATGTGGAAGATCCTACAGTGAAGAAACGGCCAAGCCAGAAAGGCAAGAAAGAAAAACAACGCGATACAAAAAAGAAACCTCGGAAGGGTGACACACCAGATGCAGATCACACTCCCCTTGGCCATAGTGACGGTGATGATGATGATGATGAGGGTGATGATGGAAGCTTTGGCCTCGAGGGGATGGATGACATTTTTGGTGCAAACACAGACAGTGGAGAGCCAGCCAAGAAGCCAGCTACCAGGCAACTTGGGTTTCTATGAAATTGTGTATATATACAACCTTGTGAAATCCATTTAAAAGGACATGCAACCTCATGCGCGCATGTCAGGAACGGTGGACGTGCATCTATGAAAAAGCCATCGAAGTCGGCAAACGAGGTGCCATCCACACTAATGGTTCAGTTCTCTTTTGATTGATGACTTGGAGGCAATCCCTTTCAGCCACCTGATCGAAGACGCCCCTACCAAATCTGAAGAGGAGAATGCCATCTGGAGGCAGGAGTGCCCGATCTTTCTCTAGAGCCTGCTTATATTTAAGTATAATCTTATATTTGTTCACCATTTTGCCTGATGTTTCGATGCCAAACCACCTTGAATTTCTGGCAGGGAGATTCATGACCTGAATGCACAAATCGCCGAGCGGGAGAAACAGAATAAGGCAGGGCAATGCAATGTTCCTGGCGGGCCTGAACATACTCAGGAAGGTGTGCCTACTTTTGGAGAAGGCCACTATGAGGATGAGCTCAATGGAATGCCACATCATGAGGAGATGGAGCACCCTGCGGCTATCGAGCCTGATGAGGCGATGGAGCACCCTGCGGCTATGGAGCCTTATGAGGCAATGGAGTACCCTGTGGCTATGGAGCCTGATGAGGTGATGGAGCACCCTGTGGCTATGGAGCCTGATGAGGCGATGGAGCACCCTGCGGCTATGGAGCCTGGGACTACACCCTTGGAGAACACAACAGGGGAGAACTTCCTTGAGCCTCCGTTTCTGCAACTTCCTTGGCATGCTATGTTGTTGCAAACGTGTTGAACAGTATGGATCAATTCTAAAGCTTTTCAATGGATTGTTTGATTGATCGAGGTCGCAAGTCTATGAGGTACCTCATCATCAGGATATTTTATATGTGGAGGAGAGTCCCCTTACTCTGATTGACACCCCTCAGGCAAACCGATGTCCTACTCCTGACAACCAGCTGGGTTTGAGCAGTAGTGCAGAATCAAAACCTGAAACTTGACAAGAAATGCAATCATGCAATTTGCACTTTAAACCGGAAACTTGAAAGAACATTAAAAAGACTAAGAATTAAACAGAAAACCAAACAACTACACTGGCCACATATTCAAAGTTGCATGGCTCAGGATCTACGACGTATGAATGCTTCCGATGACTTTGCTGGCCTTCTCAATGATGAAGAGGCCGTCCCATGGCACAGTGCATATGTTCCACTATGTTCCATATGGCACGTCCCATGTTGCAATCTGAATATGTTCCAGTACTAGGTCCATGAGAATACAAACACACTGCATGTCATTGATATGTTTATTACGTTTGCTTCTTGCTGAAGGTCATTCAAAACTCCAGAATCCAATGCACCTGGCCATGAAACGGATCTTGAGGCCAGCCTAGTCTTTGGGTGTTGGTGAAGTGACTTGATTGGAGCTACCAGCTAAGTTCCCCCTTCAACCTTCAAGGCTGTGGTCCGTGTGGATGATTCTTCGATTCAGGCTTTTTGTCTTGAATACTCTGTCTTTGAAAGGCTGCCAGCTAATCATACTTAGCTAGAACCTCTAATGTATAAATGTTGTGGAGTTCAATGATGGTTCAAATCAATGAAACGAAACCTATCAACATTATATGTGTCTATGATTGTCTATGTCTATGTCTCTCAATGATATGTTCATTGTTGAGCACACTCCCAGCGAGGAACGAGTGGCCTTGACCTTGCCATCAGCGCCTGTCCCGAAGCCAAAAGCAGCACCCATGAAAAGGCCAGCAGCCAAGGCCAAAGCAAAAGCAAAGGCCAAGGCAAAATCGAACTCCAAGAATGGAAAAGCAAAGAAGGTGGCGGAAGGAAAGAAGAGGTCGAGGGCAACTCCTTCACCGAAGCGCAAGCCAGCAAGGAAGCCCAAAACAGAGTTGCAAAAAAAACTTCACTCTGCACCTTGCAGGCAAGTTTACTGTCTGAGTTATTGGGTCCATCTTAATCTTGGTTGTGAACTTGATTTTGGAATTCAAGGTATACTCCACAGCATGGAAGGCTGCACAGGCGGCAGGGAGATCAAGTGAAGAGCGACGTGAAGCAGCCCAGCGAGCACGTGAAATGCAGCTTTGGTGAATATGAGTGGTGTTGCTTTGAAATGTATGGATTCCAATTTATTGTTTTTTTTGTTTTCTTCGTTGGATCTCAGGTATCTTCTTGAGAGCACAAGTCCCTGAGAATGGATCTTGTACATTGCAGCAGTTTCTAGTGGATGCATCGCGGAGGGGTCGCGATGAAAATAGTGTGCTGCAAGCCATGGTGTCCATCATAAAACCATCCCATCCCAAACGATCCCAAACATCCAAAGAGCCACTTGCAAAGTGGAAAGGAGCCACTTACAAGTGGAAAAGATTCAGGGAAAAGTTGGCTTTATGAGGTTTTGTGTTGAGCAGGCTATGTTTGGCTTCAATCCAACCGGTCTCTTTGTCTCTTAAAAACCATGACACGACGGACTCTTCTCTTCAGAATCCAAAGAGCTTGACGCGTCCAACCAGGCACCTTGATCTTCAACAACGTCCACCGGCTGAACCGTAAGCTGTTGCCCTCGGTGGTGCAGTTGGCGAACAACGGCACGTATTGGTCCCGCAAATTCAAAGAGATGAGGACCAGCAAGCTGAAGGCGCCGCTTCTAGGTTGGAGGTCATCGCTAGCAGGTTGGAGGCCATCGCTATTAGGTTGGAGACCATCGCTATTAGGTTGGAGGCAATTGCTATTAGGTTCCTTAACGTCTTCTTCTTAAAGGCGTGTCAAAGAGGTCAGTCGGAGTTCGAACACTGTTGGGCGATCGAGAAGAACATGCGATCGGACTGGGTGGCGAACACCTGGAGATGTCGATGTTCATTCTGATCCGGTGCAACTGGGCGTTGGTAAAAGGACCGCAAATCACTAATTCCAAGTTTCCAGGGATCATAAATCCCTTGTACCTATACAACATAAATCCCTTGTACCTATATTACACACCCTCCAACAAACCATAACAAACCTAACAATAGGACAGAAAAAGCATACCTGCCAAGTTGTTGAGAAATCCCTCACAAAAGAGTTGTTGAGGAACGAGCCAAGGGTCCCTCAAGTCCATCAAAAATGACTTCGAATCACCACTGGTTCCGTCACCGAGAGGACTTCAGGTTTTTGAGCGAAGGACCGAAGGCCTTCATCAAAACCTTGATTTTTCGGTCGCTTACGGCGATGATAATTAAACACATAAACAACGAAAAGCCATGAACAGCCTGTCCTGTTTTATTCCAGCTCTCGGGGAGAAATCTGCAACCCACCAGAACTTTGTGTCGCAACGTGTCCGCGAGACAAGGAGATCGGCTGCGTGGACATGTCAGGACATGTCAGGACAAAATACCCGGATCCGGTTCTAGTCGTTTCATTGCCATGTTTGACCACCAATCCACCAGGCTGCAAGTTAAGATATGGCCATCTGACTTTGCAGGTTATTTATTTTTGGGGGGCACGGACTAAGAACTACAATTGAAAAATGGTGATAGTTCTTGCGCCAATTGTACCCAGGTCTTACAATCATGTTGGCATGTTTGCTTGCATATTTAAAGCTGGGAGGTCTTTCGTCCCCGCATGTCCCCGCCGTCGGACGCCTGTCGGAAAAACGTGGCGTCTCGTCACCGAGATGGCAGGAATCGTCCCGTGAAACCGGGCGGGTGCATCCCCCGCTGCACGGGATGTCAAACCTCAAACGTCGGACTGGTCGCTGCTTCATGCGGTGCACAGCCTGTCGATCCTTTGAGGTCGTTTTCGCTTTCACTGCACAGGTGATCCTCATCTCAGAAGATCAGTTTGAAGAGCTCAAGTCTTTGTCCTGCACGCGGATCAAGGTTCCTGCCTTGCGCGTCAGGAGGGCAGATATCGAAACTCGGCCGAAACTCGGACGTATCGAAACCCGATGGGTCTTCAGACTCCGAGTCTTCACCCATGCCCTCGTATTCCAACATCGGTGACCGGCGTAGGGATCTAGAATCTACACAAATCTTATACAACACATATTATACATGATATAATCTGATATGATCTGATATATATATATATATATTTACCTATAATATCCCCCAAAATATGGAAGGCATGGTCACACAGGAAGGCACGGTGGTTTGTCTCTGTGTGCTTGCGAGACGGAGCTTGATTCCTCGACTCGCAGACAGACGACCGGCGGTTCTATTCAGACGACGGAGCCGGTGGATGTGGCAGCCGTGGACGACTGGTTAGTTTGTTTGCAAAAGGAGCTGGGAAGTTGTTCGTTTCACCTTGGATTCAACAAAAAGGATCCCCGGAGACGTGGAGGAAACGTCCGGGAGAGAGACATACCTTGATGAAATCAAAGCCATTCTGGGGTGGGTGCATCCGATGTTCAAGGTTCGTCCCTCTTGGAATTTTGCAACATGCTGGGGGCCTCCAATAAAAATAGGGGGTAACCTCTCCAACAGGTGTTTTTTTGGGGAGGGGTTTGGTACCCCAAATAATAGTCTCAAATAGTCTCTTTTGGAGTTCATTTTATTTCCTTTATTTTGCATTTGTTTTGCTTTCAGCCTGCTTTCATTCACGCAGCATTTCTGTTTGAAGCTTTCTGGGTGAGTTTTGACTATACCTCCAAAACCTTGATTTTGTCAGGGTAACCTAAATCGATTTAGATATGTCTATTCTGGCAGACGTTTGGCTTACCTACCCCATACGAATGAAATGTGATATATGCAAATACAACATATATGCTTTTCCAGTCAATACGGTCAAATCCTATGAACGTGGGCTCAGAGCATCCCAGGAGAGCATGGTGAAGTACAAGTTGCGGATTCTAAGCCGCCTCGAGGGGAAGCAGGTGCCGATGGTCGAGCCACAAGCGCTAAAGAGAGCCTTGGAGAGATGAGGGAAAACGCTGGAAATCCTGCAGCAACGCTTCAAAGCATTGTACTACTAGTAACAAGAAGCTACTAGGTGGAGGCCATCGCTATTAGGTTGGAGGCCATTAGTACGAGTAACAAGAAGCTACTAGGAGGAAGCCATTACTAGTAAGGACTTCCTGGTTTTCCCCACCTCCCAGGTGCTTGGGGCCTGAAGCCCTGAACTGAGTGATTTCTGAGCGAAACCAGTGACCCAAAGTGAGTGGCCTTTTGGGGGGAAATGCCATGAAATGCCTGCTTGTGAACTCTGGCCCACCGAACTCGTCTCCTTGAAGACCACTGATGTCTTGCTTTGGCCGAACTGAATGGAGCCATGGTCCAAAGAGTTTGGATGGAAAGAAAGAACACAACACTGCACCAGCCATAGCCGCCATAGCCAGAAATATTGATACCTAGAACCTGGGATAAACGTCCGATCAGCGACTGAGGGTCCGGATCAGCGACCAGGATCAGCGACTGCTGGATCAGCGACCACTGTCGCCGGATCAGCGACCAATCTCTCCGGATCAGTGACCAACGCCCCCGGATCAGCGACCAGGAACCATAGGATCACTGGTGACCGATCCTGGCGACCGATCCGGGGTGGTTGGTTTGGTTTGTTTTCCTGGTTTGTTTTCGTTTCCTTCGTTAGACCTCTCTGGCGACCGATTCTGACGACCGATCCTGTGTGGTTGGTTTCCACTAGTACTGGCTTGGCGTTATAGGGCTTTAGGGTTAGGGTTTAAGGTCAGGTGTTTAGGTTTTAGGGTTGTGTTTTTTCGGGTTAGGGTGTCTACGACTACCAATACAATTGTTAGTATGAAAACAGTTATCACTACCATTACTACTTTTACTTCCACAAGACTTCTACTGCTACTACTACTACTACTACTACCATTATAGGTTCTTAGGGTTAGGTTTTAGGGTTAGGGTTACGACTACTACGGCTATTACTACCACTTCTAGGACTACTACTATTACTATTGCTAACATCACAGTTGCGACTACTACGACCAATACTACCACTTCTACTACCACTGCTACTACTACTATCACTACCACTACTGCTACTCCGACTGCTAATACTACTACTACTACTGCTGCTGCTGCTGCTGCTGCTACTGCTACTACTACCACTGCTACTACTACTACTACTGCTACTACTACTACTGCTGCTACTACTACTACTGCTGCTACTACTACTTTACTACTACCACTACCACTACCACCACTGCCACTACCATTACCACCCCACTACCACTACCCCACTACCACTACCACTACCACCACTACTACTACTACTACTAATAATAATAATATGCCTTCTACGACTAACCACGACAATCACTACTACTACTACGACGACGACTACTACTACTACCACTACAGCTACTACTAGGTCTTAAGGTTACTATAAGTGTTTTAGGGCTAGGTTTTAGGGTTAGGTTTTTTTACGACTACTACGACTACCATTTCTATTATTACTAGTATCATTATTATACTGTTACTTCACTCACAATTACTAATACTATAACTACAACTACTACTGCTACTACTACTACGACGACGACTACGACTACGACTACGACTACCACTACCACTACGACGACCACTACCACTACCACTACTATTACTCCTACTACTACTACTACTACTACTACTGGCGTCACCTTGTCGGATGTGTGAAAGGAAGCAGAGGAAAGGCAATCATTTGCGTCGGTCTTCCGTGTCACGCCACGAACCTTTTGGGCAAGTTTGCGCTCTAACTATGTCCATGGGCAGACTTTCACGCGTTGCTCTCAGGGTAGTTGAGAAAGCAGTTCTACATTCCTATACCAAAAAGATAGCACGCATTACGCGATGCGCCCTCGAGCAAATATGGCTTCAACCACAAACATATCCTATTGGGCGAAGTATTTTTTTCGATGTTGATATAGCCCGCCCAAAGCGGCGGTCCACAGGTGAGCGCAGTGAATTCAAACAAGAAGAACAGAGCAATGAGGCGGTGGCGAACTGCCGGGTTGTCACCAGACGAAGAGAACCTGGGAGCCTCCTGATGTGGACCCCGAAGAAGTAGTACTTTGTCATCATGGTGTGGTCTGGTAACCAGGCGAATGCGTCTATATATTTTATATGTACGTGATTTACCGACTGCGAGTTCAAGGCGTTTCGCCTTTTGACGTGTTTTGTGACGTCAAGCAGCTTTTCAACAACCCATTTCTTGAGTTTAGGATATTTCAGAGAAAAAGTCTGGACTCAGTAATTCAGGGATTGTGACGTTGTATGATCCGGTATGGTTGATTGTCTTTGCCTTCCCTAGACCTCTGGTGACCAATCCTGGCGACCGATCCGGTATGGTTGGCTTGGGTTGTTTCCTTGCCTTCCCTAGACCTCTCTGGTGACCGATTCTGGCGACCGATCCGGTATGGTTGGCTTGGGTGGTTTTCCTTGCCTTCCCTAGACCTCTCTGGTGACCGATCCTGGCGACCGAGCGACCGATCCGTGATTGCCAGTCACCGATCCGTCAGGTCCGGTCACCGACCCGGACTTCCTGGTCACCGATCCGGGGCGACCGATCCGACCACATTGGTGACCGATCCTGGTGACCGATCCGACACTCACCCCTAGAACCTGAGTGACCTCTATTTTAGATTAAATGTTTGATCACCAACCCCAAATATGGTCTTTCTAATCAAAACAGGTGTCGTGTTTGGATTCTGATTCCTCCACTCTTTTCCAGTTCGGTCACTGATTCCTCTGGTTCCGGACAGGCCCGACCCCCCAACCGCTTAGGCATCCGGCCATGTGGCGGAGGTCGACTCCGATTGGGTCCGTTTGGGTCCGTTCTCGTCGCCGCCGCCTAAGCTGCCCCCCCTGGTTCCAGTTCCAGAGGCAAACCATGTGGGGTTTGGGATGAGGATCTACTGGATTGTCTACAGGAACAGTCTACTTAACATTGCGCACCTCGAAGGATGGCACGGTCCCAATATCAAAATGATGCTTCAACAGTAGGGAAACGGATAGGAAGATCTTCCGATGCCCTGGCTGCTGAAAATAGAGTTCTTCTGGCCACTTGGAGAATGACTCAGCATGTGGACAGTTATAGATTGTAGTATTGTGGGTCCCTTAAACCTGAGCATGGTTCTTTTGGACATCGCTGAACAGCGTGCTGTCAATCGAGGACTACAGGCCTATGACTATCCCAACAATGTCCAAGAGCTCTTCTCGATGATTGAGAATGCCTGGTGTCACTACACTGACGGAGGTACCTTAACGGCTGATATGGTTTGGACCGCGCAAAGCCCTGAGAAGCTCGCGACTCGGAGAGGATGAATGGACCCTGCGTATTTGGTGAATGAGACCCTGAATGCTTAAAGACCAGACAAGCTACCCAGGAAGAGGAGAAGCCACCATCACCATAGGTTGAAGGCCATTGCTAGTAGGTTGGAGTCGAGTCCGCTATTAGGTTGGAGGCTATATATATATAAATTTAGATATACTTGTTTTTGTTGTAGGTGGTCCCATGCGGAAAACCCGATTTCCGTGAGTCGACCACGGCCCCAATGGCCCATGGATCGCAGAAACCGAAGCAAAGCCGACACTCGGATGCCCGACCCCGCTCCGTGTCATGTGGTTCTTGAGGGGATTGACCCCAGCTTGCTACTTTTTACCTTAAAAAGCCCCAGGTTTGGAGATTTAAACACATCGCATTAAACAGCATTAAACAAAAAAAAAGAGCATCTAAAAAAGCAAAAACACAAATATTCTAGCTCTTTTGACTCTTCACAAGAGACTAGGTCTATGTTCGTCCATCGGACCAACACGAACATACCTGGTGAATTGATTTTTGAAGATTTAGACAAACTAAAGCCTGGACACGGACCCTATATTCTTGAGCCCTCGTGGGATGTCACGCTTCCAGAAATGAATCCTTGCCCCTATGGATACACCATGATCTAACGACATCCTCGCAAGGTAGTTCGACCCTCCATGGCCCTCCCAAGCCACCCTAACACCTTCGAAGGTTCATGGACCTTGTTGATTTTTCTTTCTATGCGCTCCTATGGACCTTCCATAGCAGCATAGCACCACATTTCTCGACATCGAGTGGTGCTAACTTCAACATCAGTCAGATCCCCAAGGAGCGAAGATTGATGATTACCAACCAACCGGTTACCAACCTGACTTGAATCGTCATGATTTTGTCATCGTCCAGGACATGTTCAAGGTGAATCTGTTGGACGTTTATCCGAGCGTCTCAGCGGCATCTGAGCGTCTGAGCTCATTTTGGAGAGATTGGGCCCCAAAGGGGAGACTGTATGTATGGGTCATCAAGGGTTCAAATATGTTCAACTGCTTTCATTGCCAGAAATCCCAGGCCATCCCAGGCCCAGTGAGGCCCGAAGCTAATATTGACTGAGTGTATGAATCAACCTGGATGGTCAAAGAATATACATAAAGGTTCGATTCATCAACCGTTGACATCAGTTAACATTCTCCAGCTGTCTTTAAGAAGTAAGACAGCTAAACCCTATAGGATCCCGTTGGTGTTTCGCACAGACACCGAAATGCGGGACCTCTGGGTCCACTTATCATGGTTGACGAACATGTTGTGATCCGGATGGAACTTGGTTGGATGGTCGTATCAAATACATACCAGGAACGAAGTAACTGGATGTCTATCAAAATAGGTAGACAGCAGACCTTCCAGTTTGAACCCCTGGAACGAGGAAAATAGACCAAACCAATTTGTTGATCCAGGGATCTCCCCATTAAAATACAGGCCCAATTTCCACGTATCACTGGATGACTGAGTTCTTCTCTTTCGCTGAGCATAAGGCGTTTAGCGCCTAGCACAGCGTATCCAAACACTGACCGAAAGACACTACCACAAAAGCAAAAGGACCAGAGAATACTACCGACCAGAGAATACCACATGCAATTGGTACATATAGAATGTGTGCGTGTGTTGGAGAGAGTGTGTGTGTGTGTGTCAATGCATTTATCTGGAAAATGCAGTGCTGGCAGATGGGAGCGGCACAGTCCTGGAGAGCAAGCGTGATTGCAAGTGTTGCAGGTTTTCCTCCAGCATCGCATCACCTTCATCAACTACAGTCCTGCCTACATTGATTTCAGATCTCACATCAGTCCTATCAGTGTATTTGAGGCACCATTCTCTTGGGTTTGGTTGTGATGTCCTTGTGATCTCCACTTTTCTCAGCTTTCTGAAGTTCCAAGGGTTGCCGGGGCCGCGCGACGGGAATAAGACTGATTCTTTGTTCACTTCGTTTCCGTCTCGATTGGACTCTAGGACGTTAACAGCTTGGGATACTGGTACCCGAGCTGATCCCCAAGTCACCCAACTGCAGACCGAATCCGAGGTTTGCGATCCTTTCTGCAGTCCAACTGGCTGGAACAACTGAATCATGGGTTTACCAAATACGTCTTTGTGGCGCTGAACTTGCTCTTGTGGCTTTGCTTAACAAAACAGCGTGACAGGCAGGCGTCGTTCGTTTGGCTTGAGGGAGTTGTTTTGTCGTGTTCCACAGTGATCTGGTGCCAAGGCAGGATTTGTGATGTTTAAATTTAGTGTATAGTGTTTATATATATGATTCCGATGGTGTTTAGGAAGGACTACAGTGGTGCTCAGGGCAACAGTCCAATGGCAAAGCAGCGCCACACTTTCAAGTGCCTGGTCAGGGTTCATGGAACAAGGGACTGACTAGAATCTGACTGAAAATGCTTGGCTCATGGGAATCTCAAGAGACACTTGGTGCTGTTTTTTTACGTTTCCCAGACATTTTCCCAAGCACCTAGCCTCAGATTGAGGAATAGGGTCATGAAAGATGCCATGTCCCACTCGATGATGGTTTGAGGTGAAGGAAGGTAGATGGAAACTAAATATGGCGGTCACTAAGCATCAACAAGTGATGTATCACTCCTTGTAGCATCTTTCTGGGCGAGATGGACTTCCAAAATCCACCCAGCTGGAGTCTCCAAGACTTTCTCAACCTCCCAGTGGATCCCCCAGGAAGATCACCTTTGACGCAGGAAGACCAACTGCTGGTTCTCTCCGGTTCCGCACGGCGAGGTGGTTTGGCCCGCAGACGCGGGACGCCAACTTTGGCCTCAACATCTTCTGGGCCTGGCGACCGGGACGCAGAGATCCTGAGATCGGAATGGATGGGAACAAGCAGCCCCGGTGATGTCTGACTCCAAAAACCCCGGCAAAGGGTGAGTTCGTGGATTTTTCAGGGTTTTCGATAAGAATCCATATTTAACATATGTTAACTCCGACTCAATAGTAGAACCTGGAGATGCACATCTCTTCCAGAGTAAAATGTCTTCCACTTCCACTCTCCAGTCACCTATAATCAGATCTGTTCACCTTAGGAAGAGAATTTCGGGATTCGATCGGATTCGGTCCAGTTATTCTCCTTGGCAGGTGGTGGCCCGGCATTTTGTTGACCTATCCAGTGCCTTGGATGAAAAAAAAGAGATGAGAAGAAGGATGCCAAGTCAGACGTACGGCTTCTTGTCATTGAAGTTTCACATAGAGAAGTTCCTTCGTCCGGTCATGTCTGGTCTGGGTGCCTTGCATGGTCCGCCCAAAAAACCGGACGCAACTCGCGAGATACGGCTTCTCGCGGAGCAACTCGTGGATCGCTAGGAGCTTGGAACCCGGATCGGTGACCACGGGCAGAGATGAACACCGGCACTCCATGGTCTTCCGAGCCCATTGAATGGACACTTATATAGCCTTGTTGTTTTGGTGGACAATTGGACAATGACTCCCAACTCCACCCCCTTGGCTGTTTTCCAGCACAAACAGATAACTCCTGCTTTGGCATGGGTTTCCCACCCCAAAAATTGGGTCATTGAAGTGAAGATGACCCACCTGAAATACTGGAAGTGTATGGCACCACCCTGTTTGTAGAGGATCTTATGGTCATCCAAGCGGCCAAGCCATCCACTTCCATGATTATTCCGGGGTGTACCCGGCACCAATCTGAACAGTTCATAAGTCCCACCACAATCAGAACCAGGTCATAGCAGGAAAACACCGAAGCAAGTCACGGGTGTGACAACTGCCAACTGCTTGGTGGAACACTTGCCAAGAGATGGGAGTAGGGTCACAACGTAGGCCGTCCAACTTGGTCGGCACAGTAGGTCGCTGGAAAATGGGCAAACATGGTCATCCACTTGGAGAAACGCCAGGAAGTGGCCTGTGTACTTAGTGATTCTCTCTAGGGATTCCCGAAATGTTGATGACATAAAGTATTAACAATTTATTATATAGGTCATGGATGGTCAAAGACGTTGCCAGCTTTCAAAACAAGGTTGCTTGAGATAACCTAACAGTTTGAGACTTTAACCAAGAGTTCTGAGGGAAGTACAATGGCTTTTGGAAGATTTGGCTTCACCTCCTTCGCTTCCTTCACCTGCTTCGCTTGCTTCGCTTCATCACATGCTTCAGGTGCTGGGCCGCTTTTGGTGCGCGGTGTGCCCCTTCATGATTTTTGGCGAGGTGCGGCGACGAGACAAGGAGCGTCACTGCAAAGAAGAATATGAGCCCCCACCAGCACCACTCAGTTTTGGATGGCTATTGGAAACAGATGGGGATGCTGGGCCACCAATACATGAAGTTCTTACCATTCCCATCCCCTATGTGGTCTCCCAGTTCGCGCAAGCCGCAGGTGGTGCAGCGTGCGCGGGTGGCCGGCGGCGCCCAGTTGCGGAAGTGGCCTCAGGAGGTGGAGCGGCCGCTCGGCACTTCGTTGGACGGTCGTTCGGTCCAGAGGGACCCAGAATCCTGGTCCAGGTGCTGGTCTTGGTCGAGCGAGATCCTCCAAAAGATGTAAAAAGTCAAGTCCTTGATGGTTTGTTTTGCTCGAAACTCAAGAAGTCATTGATTTGATGGACACAAGGTGCTAAGTTGAGAGTTGTCAACTTAGAAGTAGGAAGCGCGGAAGTCATTCTTCAAAAGAATAGGGTCCTGCGGTCCAGAAGGTGTGGTGGAATCGATGGGACATTTCACGTTGGTGATGTTGGTGACTTTTGCTGGTTGTCAGCTTTGGTGAGCATCAAGTGGCCCGCAGTACTACTGTAGTAATTTAGCCACTACCTCCTCACAAGGTTGTACCAAGACACATATATAAATCAATATAAATCATATTTGTCCTCCCTTTGCCCCACCAATATGCGGATCTCCAACCCTTTACAATTTGTGGGTGTTTGAATCTCTGAACTATAATTCTGGTATACAGGTCAGTGGGCAACCTTTCCAGTTTGTAGTGGCGAGCCCTAGTAGGTTGACCTCCCTAGTCGTCCGGTTCTGACAATAAGATCAGACCCTGAAAGACTGGCCACACCGAGATCGGACTCTCTGATCACATAGAGATCAATGGGAGACCTACCGACATACAAGAATCCCGGCTCTGGGGAGGGTCCCAGTGACCCTCAGCACCCTGAGCCTGGTGACAGCCACATGTGAGGTATGGCGGATGGTTTCTCTATGCGCTCTTCCTGGCCATCCTCATGTGGGAGGAGCTTTGGGTCCTTGAGGAGCGCAAAGCTGCTTCAGTTGAAACCGAAAACGACCAACCCACCCACCATAACCCACCTGTTCCACCACCTCTTCCAGGACACGGCTTACTTGTCCTCCTGCCTCCTGCTGCTCATTACCTTCGGTGCTATGGTGGGCTCGTACTTCTACGAGCGGCGCATTTGGTGCCGCCACTTGTGCCCCATCGGTGGGATGAATGGTCTCTATGACGCTCGGCCGGATCCAATGGTCTTACCTTTGGGTTCCTGAAAACGGGGAATCGAGTTGCTACCGTTTGGAATCAGCTTCTAGGCCAAGCAGTAGCTGTAGCCCTCGGTTGGCTTCATCCCAGAAAGTCACTAAATATCACTTATCGGAAGGGAGTAAAGCGAATAGCCCTTGGGTGATTCTCCGCATTTCTGTGTACCCAGTTGGTATTACAAAACGGTTGTGATTTCGTCGCAGTATGTTCGTTGTGGCAGCTGTTTTTGCAAAGACTGCATTTTCGCTGAGCTTTGCAGACTACAGACCAATCATGAGAGCAGCAAGCAAGCTTAACAATGGAACATGTTCAGATATTTGGCTTCAATGACTTCACAGATTGAATGTGGCTCCACCTGGTTCACAAACTAGTGGATCTTTGGGTATTTTGAGAACCGGTGGCTGACCCGTTGGCTGGTATAGGTTGACCGGTTTTGTTGGGAGTCAACCAGGGAGGTCCGGGGATTAGATAACACACACAAATCTGTAGGACTACTGTGATGCCTTTTACATCTTCGCTGGAGTTCACTCCATCCTGCTATTCCCTAACGGAAAAAGGGATGGAAAAGGGTTCAATTTGAGCTTCGCAGCATTGAAACAGCCAGGCAGTTGTCGCAGTTTTCGAACGTTTCGGATCTCTGAGACATATCAGATGATCTCAACAGCATCTTCTTGTCACCTCCTTCTTGTCATCTTCTTGTCACTCTCTCAGAGATCTCAGATCTTCGCCCCAAGGCGAAGATGGCCGTGACCGAGCTCAGAGCACAAAACGGTCAATGCAAGGCAAGCCAGGAGGATCCAGGAGGTGTTCGGGGGCCCGGCCTAAATATCTAAACCAGGGCAGTTACCCGTTCACTGGATACTCAGAGGTGCTCATAGCCCTTTACCTGTTAGTGCCCCCCGTAGGGTCGATCTTTGCTCCAGGTGAGATGCAGAGAGCTCTGTACAACTCCAGGTTTGTATTCGTTATGAGTGTCAAATCTGGTGCTCAGAAGTGCTCGAAGCAGATGCTGGCGACCAGCAGGATTTTTTGGGACTCACAACCAGTTGTACATACGCTAATGTAATGTCCAAAGCTACAACCAAAAAGAAAACCTGGACCCTCCTCAGAACCGTGGATAAGGGTACCTGCACCAATAATGTGTGTATTTATTCACTTAACAGCGTCACGTCGCATGTTCGGAGGTGAACTGGTGGCTTGATTGAACTGGTGGAACAACTATCCACTGCAGAAAACAGGTAGTAACAAGAAGCTAGTAGAAACAAGTGCATCGCTTCTACGAACAAGTGCCTTACTAGTAGTAACAAGAAGCTAATAGTTAATTTAGTTTAATTCTATGTTAAAGGATCCGTACATTTGGTTCGATAGGACGGGAGGGAGGAGGATGCAGCCACACTGGCCTGGCGCCAAGGCAGCGATGTTCGCCGGGGGGGGTTAGACCCAGCCCGCCACGTGTGAAGCCTTGCCCGCCCGTGATGTGTATTGAAAGACACATAGGCAAGTCTTCTTGCACTGGACCATATGGAGGCCTCAGTCCATGAATTAGAGAGATTGTGATTCCATCCGTTTCCAGGAGGCCTCAGGCATTCTCAAGTGTCCCAGTAGACTTATTACTATGCTTCGCAAGTGTCCCAACACCCACAGGCAAACACCCCCAGTGCTGAAATCCAGTTGTTGTGAAATCCAGTGTGTATATACAGAGCTTCTACAGCCTCTACCCCTTAGAGAACATGGTGTGGAAATTGACGGATTCTGTCAAACCATCCAACGTAAATTGAGGAAAGGGGGATCTACACATCACCCGTGTTTTTGCAAAGAAGTTATGTGTTTTTATGTCACAGCTACAGTATTTCCCCTGCTGCTAGGCTCCAGTCCCCTAAGCAATTACTCACAGGTACATCCAGGTACTGCTAAGTCCTTTCTCACTGCGACACCCTTCTCATTGCAATCCTGCTTCAGGCGGTTTGCAACACCTTCCATTGCTACAAAGGAGGTCCTGAAGAAGGCGCTCCGTTACTCGTGCTAAGCACACCCCTGTCCTCGCAGGGACCTCCCCATTGACCTTTTCAGGATTGATTAGTAAGTGACCTTTTACAGACCTAAGTCACCTCATTTCTTCTGGGATCTGAAAAGGTCATTGGGACGGTCCTGGTCATCATACTTGGATGCGTTTCCAACTCAATTGGATGCGATCAAGAGTAATACTCAATCTTCACTGAGTCACGGGCTGAGTGACTGACTGACTGAGTTACCGATTGACTGAGTGGTTGGATTTGATATCTGAGACTTTGCTTCAGGAACTGGTCGAAAGCGACCAAAGACTTGCAGCCTTTTGACACCCAATCCCATCTCCCAAGTCGGGAAATTCCCATGTTTGCGGGTGTTGACCGTCAACAGCACCGGGATCCAGTGGGCAACTGGCACATTTGTTCGATCCACTGATGGTTTGTGAACGCAGGTGAAGGACAGGAGACGGATGGCTGCCCCTTATATTCGCATCCTGCCAACCTGAAGGACAACAAGACGCCTGGCTGAATCAGCCTTTGTTTTCACTCTTCAAGGAGGACCGAGAAGTCTCGGTGCATCCGGACCAGTTTTGCTGAAACCAAGACTTGGAAGTCAAGCTGATCCAGGCCCAACGAACGAAATTCAATGAAATTCACAGCAGCTATGCAGATCCATCTTCGGAAGGTTGGTGCAATATTTTGGCCTGCATCCCGTGGCGGAGAATTTCCGAAAACGAGGGGAGGAAACATGTTGATCCGTGAACCTCTCGATGATCCAATCACCGGTGACGCCGGACCACGGATTCCAACAACGGACCAGCTCCAGCTCCTTGTGTTACGGATTCCACATACGTCGCATGTGAACTGGAGTTCTTTGTGATCAGGAATCCACCGCGTCATTTGTCATTTGTGGCCCGCCCTGTCAGTGGAGAGCCTTCAACTTAACATCACTGAAGCAGACCTAGCACTTCCAACGGGTGCCCTGTCTGGACTGTCTGGAGACCTGTTTACGTAGGCTAGGGTAGTCTAGCCCGGACACCCAGACAGGATGATCCTGGTTACTTGACCTTGTTTTGGGGCCCTTGCTCTCCGAACCATTGGCTCCGGTCGAGGGGTCGACGAGGGGGGGAAGCACCGCACCGAGGAACTGCGTGCTATGCTTCACGTGTTTGAGAGCCTGTCCTCATCGATGCTGGGACTATTGGACTGAGAGACATCTCAGGTGCTTCCCTGCGGTGTTCCGGAGGTGTCCGGAGGTGTTGGGCTTTTGGGTCTTTTGGAGGGCTTTTGCACTCTCTTGGAGCGGGAGGCTATGCTCTCCCCCCCGGAGCAGACAGATTGATGGAATCATAAGGAACCTCAGGTCGGGTGCAAAAGAGTCCTTTTGGACCCAATATGACCCAATCAGAGGGACTGAAATTGTTGACTTGGTCGAGAAATCCGTCGAGTCTGTCCATTTCCTAGAGGGCAAGCTGGTTGAGTCTCAGAGTCTCAGACACATGGACGTCAAGAAGTCAAGAGCCTGGCTTCTTGAGCCATAGTGGTAGAGTTGCATGAGAAAAGCTATTTTTTGGATGTATCATGTGTTGTCATGCTTTTTCTATTTTAATATGAAGGACAGGACAGGTGTGTAAAAACCATCAGAACCTTCACTTCACACAGTTCACATCAATCACGGGGGAAGGACCACTTGAGCGGACGTCAATGCGGCGTATCCAGTCTTGTGGAAAGAGGGTATAGATCAAACCAGGACAGTACCAGTTCTTCATGGAATTATGACTCGTACAGACGTACAGGCTACTGAAACCTAGAAATGGCCCTTGTATCAATGCCCCTGAAACCCATGTTGTGAGAATTCAGCACTTACTTAACATGCGTAAGAAGCTAGCCGCCACGCCCGTTGCACCCGGCTTTTCATTCCCTTTCTTCCAGTTATTACGCAAAACTGCGAAGCACCAAACTGCCCAGGCAACGTTCAGTTGAATCTGCGCGCGCCGGGCGTGGACTTCGGCTTCCCGTTCCTCTTCCCCATTCCAGGCACCAACATGGCAGCCCAACACGAGCCAAGCATGCCGGAGGTGCCACTGGTCGGAAAAAAACGGGTACGGAGTCGAGAACAGAACGGACTCCGGAGCGGAGATGTGTGGCGGACTCTGGGTCTGGGGCCTTTGTTTCAAGTAAACGAACAAAGATCAAAGAACTAGTTCCCTAAGAATCCTTGGGCTCTCGGCATCGGATCCTCCATAGCAGGGGCTTGAGGGCCCGAACCAACATATTATGTGTTGGTTCGGGCCCTGAAATTCTCAGGGTAACGTCGACATGTGTTTGGCTTTGCCGGTCGCCATTCAAAAAACCGCAAGTCTCGTGGAACGATTCACGATGTGTTTGGAAAGCGAAAACGCCCTCAGCGAACAACCGCCCACGACAGGTGGCACTACTCTTCTTGCTGCTCGGGGCGGTGGTGTGCCACCATTTGGAGGATTTGCTGTTGCAGGTGCGTTTGGACCTGCGGTGTTGTCCAGCGCTCTGCTGGCGTTCCCGGGTCGACCGACCGCACAGGGTTCGTACGGACGACCGAGCAGAACTGCAAGTCGTCCTATATCTATTTATTTTTTTAATGTTTTGTCCAAATCAGGCTAGGATACTATTAGACTATTATTGTGTTATGTGTTTCTTCAGGTTCAAGATGTTTCTCCAAATCCAATCGTCGGCATGCTATTTCGCCCTGCCCAGTCGCAGGGGCGGGGTCACCGTGTCACGCCGTGTCCAGTCTAGGTGGGTGAATCTCCAGAGCGCTTAGAGCCTTGGTCAATCCATGGACATTCAGAAATTGCCAGCAATCGGACACACAAATCAGGTGAATGCACAGTATTCCACAGGACTGTAGCAGCGCGTGTCAATTGCCACAATATCAAATTCTTTGCAAAAGCAAAGCCTCAGGAATGTTTCTCATCAAGTTTTGCCTATAACAAGACCCATGCTCTTTTGGAAAAAGCAACAACGGATGGAACATGTCAAGCGATGGTGCTCGGATGTACCTTCTCAGCAATTGCCCGAACACCCGTGTCACCCCGGGGGAACGGTCCAGCAATGCAGATGACACCCACCTTGCTTCGTGTGTGTTTGCTCCACACACACACACACCCCAAAACCAACCCATGCAACCCTTATCAAGTCTGGAACCTCCGGCGTCGACTCAGGAAAGCTTCAGCTTCCACGCCTTCCTCGCCTTGGCAGCTCTGCTGGCTCCAGGGCTCCTGGCCGCAGCGTTCGATCAACTGGCACGCCGACTTTGTGCTCTCTTCGAGCCGGAGCGGGCGAAGAGGGTCGTGAGGGCGGATTGAGCCTGCAGGGGGACTTGGGATCGTTTCCACACATTCGGTCGGCAGCTGTTGGTCTGTTGAAGCTGTTGGTGGTTTTTAGAGGTCAGCGGTGACTTCTTTTTCTACCACTGACACATGACGCGTACTGACACATCATGACGCATCATGACACTCTTTGTCTCTGAAGATCACCACCACATCCACGGTCTTTGGTGGTTTTGGCACCTCTTCGCACCCAGAACATCCCAGAACCACTTGCTGCAGCATGCCAGTCACTTCCGAGAAGTAAGTCCCGCGAGACGCACGCGGTGCCAGGACCGGAAGCCGCCCAACGAGTTTGTGAAGTTGGCCTACAGCTATCTCCCCCTGACGCCCGGTGTTTCACGAAACCGGGTTGTTTCAGGTCACTGCTTCGGGGAGGAAGCGGGTCGGTGAGGACGTGCAAGGTTCACGTCCCGGAGGTCGGGATCAGGTGGGTGCAGCATCGCTGGCGTGCGGTCGAGGTCTTTTCTGGCAAAGGACGGTCGAGGTTTCATCCGATTTATTCAATGAATCATTCCGTCCTCCCCAAAGGTGATGGTGGCCCTGCGGTGCTCTCGTCACGACAAGGAAGACTAGGCATGTATGAGCCAGAAAATGCCAGAAAGGTGTTCGGAGCCTGCCAGTTTTGAGATCCTTTGACAGCTGAAGGAGCTTGAATTGGTTTGCCTCGGCGGTTCGTCCCCACCAGGGCTTCATTCATTGATGCGCAACATGTCCGACATGTCCTCCTGGACAACAAAATACAAGACATGGAGCGGATCACCACTCTGGCAACTACCAACCCCTATGAGGATCCAGCTGTCACCTGAGGTGGGGTGCGTGTGTAGGGTGGCTTCTCAGGAGGTAGTTTGGAGCCGCAAAGGCAAAACACACACACACACACCAAGCACAGAGCGGATCAGAGCAACAGTAACAGATCTTTGATCTGTAACAGCAAAGGTAACAGGATCCAGATTGCAACCAATCTTTGATCCAACGGTAACTTAGTAACAGCAACAGATTTGGGTGACATGGACTGGGGGTTTTAATTCCCGTACAAATCCACAGCTCCTTTTGAGAATGGGACGCACTGACGTCATTGCCACCGATGCGAAGCTTCGCAGAGGTCATAGAGGTCACAGAGGTCACAATAGCGGTCGCATCCGTCACGTCGGTCGGTGCCACCGGTGCCACCTCAGCGCACTACCAGGACTTGGCTGGGTTCATTGGCGCACTACCTTCAGCTGGGCCTGGTCGAAGCAGGGCAGGTGCTCCCAACTGCAGCGCGCACCGTGGAGTACTTTGTTCGACAACTGCCTGGACAAGAGCAAGCAGACATGCAGTGGCTACACGAGGTGGAGCATGTTCGGTTGCTTCCATCGTGTTGGTGCCTTTTTGTGCACTGGATATCCGCATATGTTTGAAGAATGTCACATAGACTTGGCAATGAATATTGATGTGTTCCATGTTATTCCGGCATTTGATGCAAGTGCTGTTGGCCTCTTCGCGTTTCTTCGTTTGGCCACTCCATGTGCTTGGAGTGGATTGACACCATTCCAAGAACTCTCGTGGTCAGCTTCTACTAGGTCGCCCTAAGGCGTATCACCCTCACAGATGGCGTATCTTTGGGATGTGGCCATGCGGGGTAGACATGATCGCATGTCTTTGGTTGATCCTTTGTGGCCATGAGGAATGGTTTATTGGAAGTCTTCTGTGCTTGTGTTGAAAAAAAAGTTTGAGTCCGCATGAAAACTTCATGTTTTTAAATGCTCATCAGTAATCTGCCCATGTTAGGTCAAGAATGGATGAAAAGCAGCTGGTGAAAACATTTTGTAACCTGGAAATGCTTCAGTGACACTTTTGGGCGCTTGCTATTGAACTTTGCGTGCCATTGGTGCATGCAAAGATTTTAGGAAGAGGTTGTTGGATCAGTCCGACCTTGTGACTCTTCTGGCTTGTGAGCAGTTCCTGCTGGAGAAGAAGCCTGTCAAGAACAACTTCAGCCCAACAGGTTCCACACAACGCAGTGGTACCTGCAGGCTTTGAGGTGGGAGCCGTTGAGGGCATGGCGGCGAGAGCCCAGAGCCTTGGAACACCGTTGTCATAGCGACAGGAGCTGTAGTGTCTCGCGGCCAAGCTTGCATTCCTTGCAGGTGAGGTCAGGACCATATATAACAAGTCCAGAGGTGCTTCGCCTCACTGGGACGCATACAAAGAGTGGGACATGCTTTGCGATCGCACAAGTTGTGCATGGAGAGGTCCGCAACTTATCAGTACACTTTGCTTCAAGGAAGGCCGACAAACGATCACTTAGCAGATGCTCTTCTCCGACTCTGCCGGCAGCACGCTGGGATGCAGAAGGAGGACTTGCAAACCCTTTGTCGAGAAAGGAAAGCGCTGTGGCTAAGAGATGGTGTTTCTGCTCAGGCACCGCCAGACACAGCCGTATCGATGCAGCTGAGCCACCCCGTGTCCCTTGGTGTTGCGCTTCAAATTTGACGGCGGGCTGTGGTTGTGCTTGTTGTCTCGGACTCCTGCCTGCTTGCTGTTGCTGCCTTGCTGTGCTGGGGTGGGGAGGTACGTTCGGGTTTTGGAGCAAGCGCCTTGTCAGCAATGCCAGAAATAGGTACCAACGCGCTTGCCTATTTGGTGTGGGCAGTGGGCCCTGTAAAGTTCCTAACAGAAACTTCAGCCCAGCGATCTCTGGAGGAGCTAAGGCTGGCGGGTACTCTCACAAAGAGCAGGGAGTGCTGGATGCACAGGGGGTGATCGACAAGATTGACCCTTCTACCCACATGCACACACGCAAGGAGCCAGAGCCACCTGCAGACGTTTGTGTCACACCACCAAAGAAAACGCGAGACGAAGAGAGGAATCCACAGTGAGTGGCTCAGCCTGAAACTCAGCAAGTTGGTGCAGGATTCTTATGGGCTTGCGTGTAAGAATACCACCCTCTCTAATTCATTCTGGCGGTCGACCACTTTTGTTGACTTGATGTACTTGATGGTACTAGAGTTGAGGCACCCTTTGTGTTGTTGTGCCTGTTAGGCGTTTTCGCATTTCACCCCTTGGGTTCTGAAGTTCTTTCCCCCCGAATCCAAGAAGGAAATTCAATATAACTTCTGGAGCGGCCAGAATCTGTTGAACACTCTGGTGCACGCCGTTTCGCTGAATTCTAGATGCAGTGGTGGTGGTTGGGTCCACGCGCTAGGTGCTGGTGCTCACCAGGTAGTAGGCTAGGTGAATTTGTACAGAGAAATGTGAGTTAGACTTGGACCGTCAAGATGACTGTGTTGAAAGGATCCTAAATTAATTCATTAATATTCATTAACTCTTTCTCAGCCTCTCGCAGGTAATCTTTGCGGAGTGTGGCTGCCTTTTTCGTTAACAGTTTGAGAGCAGAGGTTAAGACATCCTTTCCTGCATCTATTGTTTTTCAGCATCGGGTCATCCAGAAGGGCTAGCTCAAGAACGCTCAGAGCAAAAACCCATCGGCGCAAGCCTAAACTCACAACCGATCGAAGAGATTTGTTGGGGGCCCTTCGACAGTCTGGAAGACTGCCATGGCCAGGGGCGGCGCGAATGTGAAAAGTGAAAACTTGCGATTTAAGGCATGTGGGTCTGAAGACAGTTTTAGCAGGCGTTTTCAGGCCTTATTCCGCCCACACAGCACCAGTGAACGTACGTGTTTTTTGTTGTAAATTCTACACTTCACTTGTTTTACGCCACTTTGAAAGGCAGCACCAGTGTGGTTGGGAATTTGGGGAGGTCATGAGCTAATCAACGATTGCGTGCCACACTTAAGGATTGCTTGACGAGGCTGTGGCCATAAAAGGTTCCATGGGTCAACTATCAAGATTTGGTGGTCACAAGCATGGCCTTCTGCAAGGGAGTTCAATGTGTTGCCATGAGATTTGAGAGATGACACATATTCAGGTTACTTGAAGCAGCTGTGGCCATGGGGCTCCATGGGCGTAATGTGCCTTTTACGGTGCCTTTCTCTAAACACTGAGGCTATTCAGTGATGTGCCTTTCGGACATGTGATGTGCCTTGGGCGCCCGCTTGTCTTTATGACTCCCTACAAAAATAACATATATATATATACTGCATATCTATATATATTTATATATGCATGTGTGTGTTTATATATATATATTGTGCACTCATATACAGGATATGTCGTTTTGCGGGGTGGTTCTTCAGTAGTTGGTCACTGTCTGAAGTAAGCCGTAAGCATCCTGAAGAGCGAGACGGCGAACCAATCTCCCGCCTGAAAATTCATCTTTCTCCCTACTGGCCGCCATGTCGCTTCAGCCAATGAGAACTTCTGCCCACTGTGTGTAAGGTTTTTGCCTACACTGCGTCACATCTTTGCAAGATGTCCGAAGCCACCACGGGTAAACATAGCGCCACAACAACCGTTGACTTCTCCTTTTTCGTGCAGTAGCTGGCTTCGGCTCCCACCGCTTTACATCAGCCCACATTTGATCCACAAGGCCAGTATCGACCTGAAAATTCCTGCAACGCTTGCTTTGTGGTTCCAATCTCTGCAAGAGTGCACGCAAAACCTGTTGTTCAGTTTATATTCTTTGGCCAGGTGCCTACTGGTGGGGTGGCACCGACAGCCAGACGAACCACGACCTAATGCTGGGTGGCAGCAACAGCCAGACGACCAACGACCTAATGCTGGGGCGCAACCAGCAGCCAGACGAAGCAAGACCTATTGCTGGGGCGCAACCAACAGCCAGACGAAACACGTCATCCCCATAACGTCGGTTGCTTATCAAAGCATGCAAGCAACACGCATCCAAGCATTTTGCCCACCCCTGCAGATGCACACACGCATGCGCGACGAACCCTCGGAAAAAATGGGACAGTTCTGAAGTCAAAACTTTACTGACTGTGTTTTTTCTAGCAAAAAAACAAAATTATGCGCGGGAGAGAAAAACAATGTGTTTTTTCTCTCCCAATATTCCGCAAAATTATAACTATTGAAACAAAACACGTAAAAGGCCAAAGACCTGTGATGCATTTCGTACCATTGTTTTAAGTAAACCCGTTTGGATAGATCTGGATAGTAGATCGATTTATAAATGGATAGATGGAGAGATAGATCACACATCGCACAAACACGGGGCCGAGTTTCCACTCCCTGGTGGCATGACTGAATCGCATTTATTTTCGTGTGTTTTTTCTGCTATTTGCTGAGCCCCGTGTGGCGCAACATTTTCGCAGGTGGAGCAGCGCTTGCCCAGCGTCTCCTTTGCGCCGGATGTGGTGGCCTTTCTGCAAGGAATTTGCATCATCCTGGCAGCGCTCTTTAGCCTCTCGGCCGTGTTCGATGTCATCCGGTGTCGATGGAAGACATTGAGAGAGAGAGGGTGCAATCAAGGGGAGGAGTCACAAAGCTACAGTCGGTCCCTATATGCCTCTCCCTCTATAATCCTCTATAATCCTCTATATATATACATATGTATACTAATTCCATGATAATGTCAAAGATTATATCGGCCATTTGTTTTGTTGTTTTGGGTTCATCTATTTGGAAACCACTCTAAAAGCCACGCAACTTTAAGCACGTGCAACAGACTTGAACTTGGTCCACCTTTACGAGGGTTCTCCCTCACCAAGTGGACGTGCGTGGCCGGATCCAACTCTTCTCAAGGCCTTCAGCTCCTCAACAAGCTGGGTGGCAAGGCGCCCCACGTCGGGTGTGGGATGCGCTTCCGCGCCGGTCGCGTAGTTCGGTGCCTTTTTGGGGCTTTGCATCCGAGCAAGCCCTAGTAGAGGAGGAGTGCGGAACCATCCACGAGCGACTGAAAGTTCCACCTTGTGGAAGATGAACAATCAGCGTTGACGTGTGTGTGTGTGTGTCAACCCCTGGGCCAAGGGTTCACCCCCACCACAGTTCA